TCTCGTTTAACGAAGAGAAGGACAAGGGGGGACATGATAGCAGTCTTCCAGTATTTCAGGGGCTGCCCCAAAGAAGAGGGGGGGTCAAGCTATTTTCCAAAGCGCCTGAAGGCAGGAGCAGAAGCAACGGCTGGAAACTAATCAAGGAGAGAAGCAACTTAGAACTAAGGGGAAACTTTCTGACAGTGAGGACAGTGGAACAACCTGCCTCCAGAAGCTGTGAATGCTCCAACACTGGAAGTTTTTAAGAAGAGACTGGACAGCTATTTGTCTCAAATGATATAGGGTTTCCTCCCTGACCAGGGGGTTGGGCTAGATGACCTCCAAAGTCCCTTCCAATTTGTTGTTATTATTGTTATGAATAGAATAGAATAGAATAATTAGAATAGAATAGAATAGAATAGAATAGAATAGAATAGAATAGAATGACACAGTTGGAAGGGACCTTTGAGGTCATCTAGTCCAGCCCCCTGCTCAGGCAGGAAACCCTATATCAGTGATGGCGAACCTTTTAGAGACTGAGTGCCCAAAAACCGGGCCCTCCCCACCACCTCTGCCAACCCCTACTCCGCCTCCCGCCCCTTCCCCCTTTGTCCCAGCTCCGTCCCCACCCGCAGGGCCATCCACCGCCTCTATGGCCTGCCGCAGATCACCCAGGTGGCCCAGCAGTGCTATGGCACCCACGCCTTCCTCCTGCGCCCCGCAGCATCAACTGCGCGCGACAGTGTCATGTCCCTGCTGCCCGACTGCCGTGTCCTTGGCTGCACTGGTCTGTGCAGGCCATGCTCGTGGGTGACTCTACTCTGGGGGTGCTGCTGTTGAGGAGGGGGCCGTGGGGGGAGGCGGGGCTGAGGCAATGGTGCATGTGCCCACAGAGAGGGCTCTGAGTGCCGTCTCTGGCACCCATGCCATGGGTTCGCCACCACTGCCCTATACCATTTCAGACAAATGGCTGTCCAGTCTCTTCTTCAAAACCTCCAGTGTTGGAGCATTCACCCCTTCTGGAGGTAAGTCATTCCACCGATTAATTGTCCTCACTGTCAGGAAATTCCTCCTTAGTTCCAGGTTGCTTCTCTCTTTGATTAGTTTCCATCCGTTGCTTCTTGTCCTGCCTTCGGGCGCTTTGGAGAAATAAGTATTATCCCCCCTTTTAATTCCAGATGTTCCTAGCGGCAAACAAACCTCTTGATCCTTTTGGATATCAGGTTGAGAAATTTCACACTCTTCTACTTTTTTTTCCCAGTTCTCTTTCTATTTTTTTTTTTTAAAAAATGCCGGTCAGTGCTGCAATATGTTTGCTTGACAAGGCAGCTGCTGTTGCTGGGATGCTATCACCTGCCAGGGGGATCTCGGCCAACCTAATTGTCGAGGCAGCTTCAAAACGGTTGCATTAGCATCAAGGTGACTTGAGGCTTATGGTTCTGGAGCCTAATGGTTTCCGAGAAGCGGTTTTGTTCCGATCCTTCAGCTGGCGCTTTGCGTCTGGTGAAGTGGAGAGGTTGAAAACAAAAGAGGGAAAGGCTGGAAAGAATGCAAAGCCGCAGGACTTGCCAAGGATGCAGTGAGCTTGTACAATCACACTGGTCTACAAGGAGAAGGCCTGGGAACTGAAAGTCAAACTCAATTTCATTGAGGGCCGCATCAGCATTGCGGTTGCCTTCGGGGGTCCAGGTGGGTGCGGCCTACTGGGTGGGCGTGGATGGAGTGGGTGTGGCCTACTGGGTGGGCGTGGTCATCTCTACATCATTCGCGTCAAGGGTGCCTATGGGGGCCTGGGCAGGAGTGGGACAGATCTGAGGGTCTCTGACAGAAGGGGGTGGGACCAGGGCATCGCCCATCAAGCCAGATATGTGTGAAGTAGGCGAGGGCCATTTGCTGGCCACTTCCATTTCTTCATTCCTCACAAAGGGTGACACCTCCCCAGCATGCACCCAGGGGGCGGGGCCGACGCGGCAAGGACTGGTTCCTTGCTGTTTCGAGACGGCCTTGTGGAGCTAAGACTGAATGTGTTTCAGCATAGATGGCCACCACAAAATTGTACATTGGCTCCTGGCCAGCCTGGGCCAGGGCCAAGGCAGCGGGGGCCATTCCCTCACTGTTTCCAGGATGGCTTTGCAGGCCACATGAAACCACTTCGCGGGCCGCATCCGGCCCCCGGGCTTTGTGTTTGACATATCTGCTCTATAACCTTTCTGCAAAATGTGATTATACAGCAACGAGAAGGGTGCCACACCAATCATTATAAATGTATCTTTTTATTGATACCAATCATGTGACTTTCCCTTCACATATTGGGTTTTTCAGGTGTTTTTTGCACAAAAGCTCTAACATCAGATAATAAACAACAAGGCTCCATCTTTATTCGGTATCTAAACTGCGCTTTGGCCACCTAATGAGAAGGAAGGACTCACTGGAGAAGGGCCTAATGCTGGGAAAGATGGAGGGCAAGAGAAGAAGGAGACGACAGAGAATGAGGGGGCTGGATGGAGTCCCTGAAGCAGGAGGTGTGAGCTTCAATGGACTCCAGAAGATGGTAGAGGACAGGAAGTCCTGGAGGAACATTGTCCATGGGGTCGCGATGGGTCGGATACGACTTCGCAACTAACAACAACAACAACAAACTGCGCTTTTTGCCTTTTCTCTTGTGAACTGCATTAGGATCATCCCTGGGAGGATTCCAGCAGTTAATCGGCAAGCATGGAAAGATTCCCATTTTCCCTTGATACTATAATAGATAATAGATAATATAAAAGATAATAATCTTTTCTCCATGCCTGCGATAATCCTGGTGGAATCTTTCCCCTGCTTGTCACTCCCTGACCCACAGTTCAAAGGGAAATAGTCTAAATGCGAGCGTAAGAAGTGAATTTTCAATGAGATGTTTGCACCAACTGCTCTTTATAAAACCCTAGTGAGACCACACCTGAAATACTGCAACCACTTTTGATCACCATACTACAAATAAAGATTCTGAGACCTTGGAAAAAGTTCAGAAAAGAGCAATTGATATGATCCAAGGTCTGAAGACTAAAACGTAGGAAGAACAACTGAGGGACTCGGGTTTGGCTAATCTAAAGAAAAGAAGAAATAGGGGAGACATGATAGCAGTTTTCCAATATTTGAGGGGCTGCCAGAGCGGGTCAAGTTATTCTCTAAAACACCAGAGGGCAGGACGAGAAACAATGGTTGGAAACTGACAAAAGAGAGAAGCAACCTAGAATTAAGGAGAAACTTCTTGACAGTGAGGACAATCAACCCGTGGAACACCTTGCCACCAGAAATCGTGAGTGCTCCATCACTGGAGGTTTTTAAGAAGAGACTAGACAATCACCTGTCTGAAATAGTATAGGTTCTTCTGCTCGAGTGGGGGGCTGGAGTAGAAGACCTCCAAGGTCCCTTCCAGCTCTAATAATAATAACAATAAAGTTGGAAGGGACCTTGGAGGTCATCTAGTCCAACCCCCTGCTCAGGCAGGAAGCCCTATACCATTTCGGACAAATGGCTGCCCAGTCTCTTCTTCAAAACTTCCAGTGTTGGAGCATTCACCGCTTCGGGAGGCAGGTGGTTCCACTGGTTAATTGTTCTCACTGTCAGGAAGTTTCTCCTTAGTTCCAGGTTGCTTCTCTCCTTGATTAGTTTCCACCCGTTGCTTCTTGTCCTGCCTTCTGGTGGTTTGGAGAATAGCTTGACTCCCTCTTCTTTGGGGCAGCCCCTGAGATACTGGAACACTGCTATCATGTCCCCCTTTGTCCTTCTCTTCATTAAACTAGACATACCCAATTCCTTATACGTTTTAGCCTCCAGTCCCCTAATCATCTTTGTTGCTCTTCTCTGTACTTTTTCTAGAGTCTCAACATCTTTTTTACATCGTGGTGACCAAAACTGGATGCCGTATTCCAAGTGTGGCCTTACCAAGGCCTTGTAAAGTGGTATTAATAATATTAATACCACTATTCTATTCTATTCCCTAAACGTCTTCTGAAGGTGGCTTTCCTAATGTATTTCATTGCTAAGAGGTTTGAGCAAATTTCAGATACACTGGATCTGTTTTGATGGTCATCAGAATCTTAACGTCCACCGCTTGGAGCCCAGAGGCGGTCCACCTACTGCAGATAGTCCTTGACTTACAATCATTCATTTACTGAAAAAGTTGTAACCACACTGAAAAAAAAATGTCTTACGATTGTTTGTCACACTTACGACCATTGCAGCCTCCCCATTTTTCACGTGATCAAAATTCAAACGCTTGGCAACTGGCATGTACTTAAGACGGTTGCAATGTCCCAGGTTCACGTGATCCGCTTTTGCGACCTTCTGCGAAGCAAAGTCAATGGGGGGGAAGCCGGATTCACTTAATAACCGCGTTACTAACTTAACGACTGTAGTTGATTCTCTTAACAACTGTGGCAAGAAAGGTTGCAAAATGGGGTAAAACTCACCAAACTGTCTTACTTAGCAACAGAAATGTTGGGCTCAATTCTGACCGTAAGTCAAGGATCACCTATCACCAAACAAGCAACATAATTTTTTTAAAAAAAAAAATTAAATGCACAGGTAGTCCTCGACTTACAACCTTTCATTTAGTGACCGAAATTACAACAGCACAGGAAAAAAAGGCACTCATGACTGTTTTTCACATTTATAATTCTTGCAGCATCTCCACGCGATCAAAATAAAGATGTTTGGCTACTGGTTCATATTTACGACGGTCGCAGCATGATCCCCTTTTGTGTCCTTCTGACGAGCAAAGTCAGTGGGAAAGCCACATTCACTTAACAACCGTGTTATTAACTGAACAACTACAGTGATTCACTTAGCAACTGCGGCAAGAAAGGTCGTAAAACGGGGCAAAGGTCACTTAACAAATGTCTCACTTAGCGACATAAATTTTGGGCTGAATTGTGGTCGTAAAGCGAGGACTAGCTGAAATGTGCTTTTTGACCTTCTCTTCGCTGTGTTTGATTTCGTTCGTGCCTTGTTTCTCTTCCCCCCCCCCACAGTGGTTCCGCTGGGGAGTCCAGGAGCGATTACGCGCCACGATTCCTATGACAGCTTAGCTTCCGATCACAGTGGACAGGAAGATGAAGAATGGCTGTCTCAGGTACCTTGGAAAAAGAAGTATTGGTTTATTTGATCCATTTATTTGCCCCCTGTCCCGCCATGGGGCTACTCCAGGCGGCTCATATCTGTTAAAAAGGAAGAAATGAAAAGAGTATCAGCAAAACAGAAGCAAAATAATAGAACAACAAAGCCACGGAATAAGAGAGTTGGAAGGGACCTGGATGGTCTTCTAGTCTAACCCCCTGCTCAGGCAGGAAAACCTATGCCGTTTCAGACAAACGGTTGTCCAGTCTCCTCTTGGAAACCTCCTGTGTTGGAGCACCCACAACCTCTGGAGGCCAGTCGTTCCACTGGTTAGTTCTAGGTTGCTTCTCTCCGTGATTAGTTTCCATCCGTTGTTTCTTGTCCTGCCTTCAGGCGCTTTTGAAAATAGCTTGACTCCCTCCTCTCTGTGAGTCCCTTAAGTATAGGAAGGCAGTCTGTTAGCCATCTGAACAAAACAGAATATCAGAGTTGGAAGGGACCTTGGAGGTCATCTAGTCCAATCCCCTGCTCAACCAGAAGACCCTATACCAGTGGTTCTCAACCTTTCTAATGCCGCGACCCCATAATACAGTTCCCCATGTTGTGGTGACCCCCAACCACTTATACATCACCGGGTGCCAGTGGCATGGCCAAAGAAAAGGGGGAAAAAATGGCGGACAGCCTTGTTTGGCGACCCCCGTGAAATGGTCGTTCGACCCCAAATGGGGTCCTGACCCACAGGTTGAGAACCACTGCCCTATATCAGGGGTGTCAAACTCAATTTCATTGAGGGCCACATCAGCATTGTTGTTGCCCTTGGGGGGAGCGGCGGTGGGGTATGGCCATGGTGGGTGCAGCCTACTGGGTGGGTATGGATGGAGTGGGTGTGGCCAGCTTCGCATCGTTCACATCAAGGGTGCCTGTGAGGGCCTTGGCAGGAGTGGGACAGATCTGAGGGTCTCTGGCAGAATGGGGGGGGGACCGGGGCAAGGGCCAAGGCATGGTCCATTACTTCATTCCTCACAAAGGGTGACACCTCCCCAGGATGCACCCAGGGGGCAGGGCTGACACAGAAGAGGCTGGTTCCTCGCTGTTTCTAGACGGCCTTGTGGAGCTAAGACTGAATGTGTTTCAGCATAGATGGCCACCACAAAATTGTACATTGGCTCCCTCCCGGCCAGCCTGGGCCAGGCCGTTCCCTCAGTGTTTCCAGGATGGCTTCGCGGGCCACATCCGGCCCCCGGGCCTTGTGTTTGACATGTCTGCCCTATACCATTTCAGATAAATCATTGTCCAGTCTCTTCTTAAAAACCTCCACTGTTGGAGCATTCACTACTTCTGGAGGCAGGTTGTTCCACTGGTTAATTGTTCTCACTGTTTGGAAGTTTCTTCTTAGTTCTAGGTTGCTTCTCTCTTTGGTGAGTTTCCACTCGTTGCTTCTTGTCCTGCCTTCTGGTGCTTTGGCGAATAGCTTGACTACCTCTTCTTTGGGGTAGCCCCTGAGATACTGAAACACTGCTATCATATCACCCCTGGTCCTTCTCTTCATTAAAATAGAAATACGCAATTCCAGCAACCGTTCTTTATATGATTTAGCCTCCAGTCTCCTTTATCTTATTTACCTTATAATAAGATAACAACAAAAGTGCGTATAGTCCAGGCCATGGTTTTCCCAGTTGCAATGTATGGCTGTGAAAGTTGGACCATAAGAAAGGCTGAGCGCTGAAGAATTGAGGTCTTTGAATTATGGTGCTGGAGAAGACTCCTGCGAGTCCCTTGGACTGCAAGGCGTTCAAACCGGTCAGTCCTAGAAGAGATCAACCCCGACTGCTCCTTAGAAGGCCAGATCCTGAAATTGAAACTCAAGTCCTTTGGCCACCTAACGAGAAAGAAGGACTCACTAGAGAAGAGCTTAATGCTGGGAAAGATTGAGGGCAATAGAAGAAGGGGATGACAGAGAATGAGATGGCTGGATGGAGTCACTGAAGCAGTGACTTAAATGGACTCCAGAAGATGGTGAACTTAAATGGACTCCAGAAGATGGTAGAGGACAGGAAGACCTGGAGGAACGTTGTCCATGGGGTCGCGATGGGTCGGACACGACTTCGCAATTAACAACAACAAGATAAAATAAATAAAACAATAAAACAATAACATCAGACAGTGTAGGGTTTCCTGCCTGAGCAGGGGGTTGGACTAGATGACTTCCAAGGTACCTTCCAACTTTATTATTACTACTACTACTACTACTAGTAGTAGTAGTAGTACTACTACTACTACTATTATTATTATATAGTATAATAAATGTATTATATTATATAAATATAATAAATACAGCAAAATAACAATAATAAAAAGATGTGTCGGTCCTGGGAAAGCAGAAAAGGTGAGAAGTTCTTGGGAAGAAGAACTGAAGAATCTCCTTGGATGAGAAAAATAACAAGAGAGTCCAATTGCCTTTTTTGGGGGGGGGGATAGCACCTTTGGGACAATCATCATCTGGATGGTTGAGAATCTCCAGAGACCGATGTCCACGTTAGACTTAGTGGTGGCGAACCTATGGCACGGGTGCCAGAGGTGGCACTCGGAGCCCTCTCTGTGGGCACGAGCACCGTCACCCCAGTCCTAGGCCTTCAGTTGGGTTTTATAAAACCTTTTCGCTTTAGGCCTCTGCCGCCGTGGGCAAAAAAAAAAAAAGGTTCAATCAATCAGTCAATTTCAATTTCTCGTGGGAAAAAAAAAGATCTTGCAAAGTTGGAATTGATTGATTGAACTTTTTAGTCCCACCCAGTCTGCTGTAACCACCGTAGCCACGCCCAGCCAATGGGCCACACCCACCCAATGGGCCACGCCCACCCAATGGGCCACACCCACCCGGCACTCGACGATGCATAAGTGGGTTTTGGGTTGCAGTTTGGGCACTCGGTCTCTCAAAGGTTCGCCATCACTGGACTTAGATTGTTCGGATGTGCGTCGTGTTCCTGCGGCATTGATCTGGACCTACTGGATTCCTCTGGAACCTCCCTTCCTTTTCCCAAAAGGATTCCCATCAGGAGTCCTAGGCCAGCTCAGGGAGGGCTGTTGGAGAACTCCTGCCTTTTGTTAAGCCCCCCCCCCCCCGCATCTCCTCCACACTCTCAACAAACGAGGGTCGCCATCCGCCACTCGCTTTCAGCTGAAAAGCCCACAGGGTTTTGTCTGTTTTTCCAGATGGAAGTGTGATCTGGCAGATCGTCCATGTGACAAAGGGGACAGGGCCCTTCGCCTCCGCTCCTCAATTAGGGAAGTGGCTAATGCGTGCTGTCATCGGGAAGGAGACACAATATGTCGGGCCCGTGCGTTTTTTCGAGGGGGTGACCGGGAACATCTGCCTCCTTGTCTTTGCTGGAATGGCAGGAGCATCTGTTTACCTCTCGGCTCTCTGGGGACCTGATGGCATGGGGCTCCACGTCGACAGCCTGTTTGCGTTGCGGCCTGATTCGCAGCGTGGGGCGCAAGAGCCTACATGCGTCAGGCAGACGGCTTGTGCCGCCCTTCGAAAGAACAAAATGTTGACGGCGCACGGAATGGCCTGCTTGCTCTTCCCTCCAGCCTCAAAACAGCTGCCTGGCGAGAACAAGACCACGTTGGAACATGAAAAAAGGAAAAGAAAGGGGGGGGGGGGAAGGAAATACTTGTCATCACAGTCGGCAGTCAGCTGGAATACAGGCAGTCCTCGTCTTACAACTGCAGTTGAGCCCGAGGTTTCTGTTACTAAGCGAGACAGGCTTTAGGTGAATTTTGCCCCGTTTTGCGACATTTCTAGGCGCGGTTGTTAAGTGAATCACTGCAGTTGTTCAGTGGGTAACACGGTTGTTAAGTGAATCCGCCTTCCCCATTGACTTTGCTTGGAAGAAGGTCGCAAAAAGGGAGCACGTGACCCCCTTGGGACACTGCAACTGTCATAAATATGAGTCAGTTGCCAAGCGTCTGGATTTTGATCACGTGACCGTGGGGAGGCGGCCACAGTCATAAGTGTGAGAAATGGTCAAGTTGACTTCCATCCTTCCGTGGTCGGTAAAATGAGGACCCAGATTGTTGGCGGCAAATATGCTGATTTTATAAACTGCTTAGAAAGGGCCGTAAAAGCTCTGTGAAGCGGTATATAAGTCTAGTTCAGTGTGTCTCAACCTTGACAATTTTAAGGCATGTGGACTTCAACTCCCAGAATTCCACAGCCAGCAATCCATGATGGCCACGCCCTCTGCCCAGGCCCCACAGCATCAACTGTGCGTGATGGGGTGTGAGGGCAGAGTCTTGTCTACGCTGCCTGGTTGCCAGGCCCTTGGCTGCGCTGCTCCGTGCGGGCTATGCTCGGGGGTGACTCTTCTCCAGGGGGCTGCTGGTGAGGAGGGGGTCGCAGGGGGAGGTGAGGCTGGGGCAACGGCACGTGTGCCCACAGAGAGGGCTCCGAGTGCCGCCTCTGGCACCCGTGCCATAGGTTCGCCACCACTGCCCTATACCCTTTCAGACAAATGTCTGTCCAGTCTCTTCTTAAAGACTTCCAGTGTTGGAGCATTCACCGCTTCTGGAGGCAGGTAGTTCCACTGGTTAATTGTTCCCACAGTCAGGAAGTTTCTCCTTGGTTCTAGGTTGCTTCTCTCCTTGATTAATTTCCATCCATTGCTTCTTGTCCTACCTTCAGGCGCTTTAGAGAAGAGCTTGACTCCCTCTTCTTTGGGGGAGCCCCTGAGATACAGGAATGCTGCTATCATGTCCCCCCTCGTCCTTCTCTTCATTAAACTAGACATACTCAATTCCAGCAGCCTTTCCTTATATGTTTTAGCCTCCAGGCCCCTAATCATCTTTGTTGCTCTTCTCTGCACTCTTTCCAGAGTCTCAACATCTTTTTTACATGGTGGTGACCAAAACTGGATACAGTATTCCAAGTGTGGCCTTACCAAGGCCTTGTAAAGTGGTATTAATACTTCATGTGATCTTGATTCTATCCTTCTGTTAATGCAGCCTAGCACTGTGTTGACTTTTTTGGCAGCTGCAGCACACGGCTGCAGTGTATTGTAGTCTCTCTAGCTGTTGTTTTCCTCTGAAAGCAATGGGATCTGGAAGGGTTTGCCCTTTTGGTTGGCTCGTGATTTAAAAGAACACTTTAGTTCTTATTCTAAGAATTTAGAATTTCTAAGAACTAAATCGAAAACAACTTCACCCATGTAAATATACATACACAGAACGTTTCGGGTGATTGTGTGTTGTTTTGTGAAGCTGGGAATGTAAAGTTTGAAGAGGAAATGCTTAGCCAGCTTGGTCTAATAGCTAAGATACCAGGATAGATACCGTTCCTTATATGTTTTAGCCTCCAGTCCCCTGATCATCTTTGTTGCTCTTCTCCACCTTGCAGGTGGAAATTGTGACTCATACTGGACCTCACCGGCGCCTCTGGATGGGCCCACAGTTCCAGTTCAAGACTATCCATCCTTCTGGCCAAACCACTGTGATTTCCTCCAGTTCTTCCGTGCTTCAGTCCCACGGCCCGAGCGACACACCGCAGCCTCTCCTGGACTTTGACACCGATGATCTGGATCTGGACAGTCTCAGGTTAATTCTTCTTCTTCTTCTTCTTTTTTTTTTTTCAAAAAGAAAAAAAGCAAACTCTCGTTCTTTATTTCTCATTCCCCCTAGTGCAGTGGTTCTCAACCTGTGGGTCGGGACCCCATTTGGGGTCGAACGACCATTTCACGGGGGTCGCCAAACAAGGCTGTCCGCCATTTTTTCCCCCTTTTCTTTGGCCACGCCCCTGGCACCCCGTGATGTATAAGTGGTTGGGGGTCACCACAACATGGGGAACTGTATTATGGGGTCGCGGCATTAGAAAGGTTGAGAACCACTGTTATAGTGTTATGCAGGTAATCTGACTGACAGCCGTTCGCATAGTGACGGTTCGAATTTACAACGGCACTGAAAAATGTGACTTATTTTTCAGTTTGAACACAAAAAGCGTCTCAAACCATCCAGCTATTCTGGAGAACAGAAAGTGTCCTAGAGCACACGTTAGAACTTGAAGGATGTAATATTTTAGAATAGATGATTGATTTTTAATCGAGTTCTAACTAACATTTTGATGATACGATTACTTTTCCTGACTTACTGATTTTCATTTGTTACTTTTGATTGTTAGGATTTATTTTTTTATTTTATTTTATTTGGGTTTTTTTTGTGATTTTATTAGTAGTGTTTACTTAATAGATCAACGTATTTGTTTACTAATTATTTTTAATATGTTACAGTTTAAGCTTTGTTGAAAATGGTTGAATATGATACTTACTCATTATTATGAACCGGGCGGTTGCGTGTTTGTTGAAATATGTGATTGTACCTATCCTTATTTTACCCTAATCCCTTATTTCCTTCCCCTCCCCCTATCCTTTTTCCCCTTCCCTTTACCATACCTGTATTTTTCCTATTTTTCTTTACCTATATAAATTTAATAAAATTTTGTTAAAAAAAAAAAAAGAAAGGTCCTAGAGCAGGGGTCTTCCAACTCGGCCCTTTTATGACTTGTGGATTTCAACTCCCAGAATTCCTCAGCCAGCATGCCTGGCTGAGGAATTCTGGGAACTGAAGTCCACAAGTCATAAAAGGGCCAAGTTGGAAGACCCCTGCTTGTGGACTTCAACTCCCAGAATTCCTCAGCCAGGCACGCTGGCTGAGGAATTCTGGGAGCTGAAGTCCACAAGTCATAAAAGGGCCAAGTTGGAAGACCCCTGCTTGTGGATTTCAACTCCCAGAATTCCTCAGCCAGGCACGCTGGTTGAGGAATTCTGGGAGCTGAAGTCCACAAGTCATAAAAGGGCCAAGTTGGAAGACCCCTGTCCTAGAGAGTGTAAACATCCTGCCAGTCCAGAATTACATACGGGTACTCCTCGACTTACAACAGTTCGTTTACTGACCGTTCGAACTTCCAATGGCGCTGAAAATGTGACTTACGACCGTTTTTCACACTTACAACCGTTGCCGTATCCCCATAGCCATGCGATCAAAATTCAGACACTCGGCCACTGGCTCATACTTACGACAGTCGCAGCATCCTGGGCTCACGTGATCCCCTTTTGCGACCATCTGACAAGCGAAGCCAGATTCACTTAACAACCCTGTTACTGACTTAACAATTGCAGCGATCCACTTAACAACGGTGGCAAGAAAGGTCGTAAAAAGGGGCAAAACTCACTTAACATACGTCTCACTTCACAGCAGAAATTTTGGGCGTGCTCGTGGTCGTGAGTCGAGGACCACCTGTGCTGTAGCTAAGTTACTGCATTCTGAATCTGGGTCCAGATCGTTGTGGTGCCTTCAGTTTTTGTGCTGTAGGCCAGTGATGGCGAACCTTTTAGAGACCGAGTGCCCAAACTGCAACCCAAAACCCACTTATGCATCGTCGAGTGCCGGGTGGGTGTGGCCCATTGGCTGGGCGTGGCTACAGTCGTAACAGCAGACTAGGTGGGACTAAAAAGTTCAAAGTCAATTCCAACTTTGCAAGATCTTGTTTTTTCTCATGAGAAGTTGAAATTGACTGATTGAACCTTTTTTTTTTTTTTTTTTTTTTGCACACGGCGGCAGAGGCCTAAAGCGAAAAGGTTTTATAAAACCCAGCTGAAGGCCTAGGACTGGGGCGACGGTGTGTGTGCCCACAGAGAGGGCTCTGAGTGCCGCCTCTGGCACCCGTGCCATAGGTTCGCCACCACTGCTGTAGGCCCTTGTGGCGCTCTTTTCAACAAACTGATCCTTCCAGCTGACGTGTGCTTTGTATTTTTAGAATCCAGCCTGTACGTTCTGAGCCTGTGACCATGCCAGGATCGTCATGCCCAGCTACTGATCTACGAGGAAGATCTTCAGCAACTGATACTACCTCAGGTAGGAAAATGGGTCTATCAAACCAATTTTTTTTTTTTAAATGTGTTCACGGTTCAGCGCGCACGGATTTTCCCATTGGCAAAATGTTTGTGAGTGTGTCAACAAAACTGAAGCTATTTTGTGGATGGATCAAATTGACCACTTGGTTCCGTCGTGGCTAAAGGCATGTGATTATTGCTTGGGGAGATTTGAACTTGAGACCGCCCCGTCTGTTGTTGAGGTATGGTGGAAGGGATGATGGTGTCTTTGTGGTCAAAGGACAATATCTAATTGGGGATGGAATTCAGATTCAGATTAAGATCTATTGATGACACTCGAACATGGCAGAAACATTGTACTTCCTGGTCAAGACTTATATCAGCATGAAGTGTAGCCTGTTGTGAAGTTTGGAACTGCAAGGGACAACTTTATGTGAGACTGTTGATCTCATTGAGTGAAGGGATGGTGTCGTTTCAAGCTGATCTCCTCCAAAGACTGGTTCCATTCTGTGTGGATGTAAGATATTGGTTGTAGGCTGGTTAAGGGGAGGAGAACAGCGATGGGATTCAGCCGGTTCGCATCACTTCGGCAGTACTGATAGCTAATTTTTTGTTGCCCGGACTCAGAATGGACTTCCAGAAGCGGCATCCACACAGAGAACCAGTTGTTCACCTATTTGAATCCCACCACTAGAGGAGAGCCCTTAAGCCCCATGTGACAGAAGATTGCTCGGGGTAGGGAAAAAACTTGACTCGTTGCAATCAGTCTTCGATACGCAAGTGATCCTCTAAAGCATTGTGAGATGTTGAAAAACAATGATCATTTATTTTCAAGAGTAGAGTGGATCAGAACTCAAGACTCTGAATGAAACCTGGAATGGTTCCATAGGTCCTGTTTTGGCATAAACAACAAAACAATCATTTGAATGAAAACCCTTTGACCTGGTTGCCTATTTGATTGCTGTTCAATCGTTAAGTTCCGCCTATTTGCAACCTCATGGACCATATAAGATAAGATAACCTTTATTGTCATTTTTTTTTTTGCTGCGGGCACACTGGCACACATTAAAAATGAAATTCTGTTGCCTGCTCTCCAGAAGTGTACACATACATAACATACATATAAACAGGCTATATACAACATATGCATATGCCTACACCCCTACATATAAATACATACGAGGGCAATTCGGAAATAAACCTCCGTTTGGTTATCTAGGACAGATATTCGCAGATACAGAATTTTTATTATACACCTTAAAACAGAGGCCCCCAACCTTTTGGGCCCAGTACCGGTCCACAGACCGGGGGTTGGGGACCCCTGCCTTAAAAAACTACATCATTACATTACTTTTCGATATAACCGACACCACACCGGAAGTGGTGCCATGGAAAATCCCGCCAAATGTGAAGATGCCAAAGGAGTACAGCAGTGGTTCTCAACCTGTGGGTCGGGACCCCATTTGGGGTCGAACGACCATTTCACGGGGGTCGCCAAACAACGCAGTCCGCCATTTCCCCCCCCCCTTTTCCTTAGCTGTGCTACTCCCTTTTATTCTATTGGCTTTTGAAAGCCAATAGAATAGACTTTCTTGAATAGAGTCTACTTCTATTGGCTTTCAAAAGCCAATAGGAATTGTCCAGTCTGTCTCTGCCCTGCTGAGCCCGCCAAAAGTCCCATTCTGCAAACGGTGCTGCACCAGTTGAATAGTCCTCGACTTACGACCGGTTGAGTAGTCCTCGACTTACGACCGGTTGGGGGTCACGGCATTAAAAAGGTTGAGAACCACTGGAGCACAGCTAATGACATTCCTGGAACCTGGTTTGACCGTCAATTCAGACATCTACTGTGAAACGTTAGGAAAACTCAGACCAGCCATCCATAACAAGTGTTGGGGTCTGCTGACTTCCGGTGTGGTGTTGGTTCACGACAATGTTCGCCCGCACACCGCTAGACACACCCAAGGACTTGTAAAGCAGTTCCGCCGGGATCTTTTGGATCACACACACCCCCAATAGCCCAGATTTGGCGCCGAGTGACTACGACTAAGGAATTTCAAACCTTGTGTGATGTTATGACAAGTGCCTCAGTTTGAATGGCGATTATGTCAAAAAGTAATGTAAGGTTGTCGTCTTCTAAGGTGTATAATAAAAGTTCTGTCTCTGCGAGTGTCCGTCATCGATAACCAAAACGGAGATTTATTTCCGAATTGCCCTCGTATAAATTTGAATCGCTGTCCATCTTGAATACGTAGCGGAAAGAGGAAGCTTGAGAGTTCACAAGGTTGATACCGTATGGAGCAAAACTGTGGCTGAATCTGGACGTTCTGCTGATGTTCTTCTGATATCATACCAGCCCCTCCTGTCCTCTACCATCTCCCGGTGTTTTGCCCAAAATCACGTTTGTTGCGTTGACGACACCCACCTAACCTTCTCCTCCTCCGCCATCCCCTTCTCCTTTCGCCTTCCCTCTTTCCCAACATCAGCGTCTTTCCCAAAGAATCCTCTCTCTTCTCCTGAGGTGGCCAAAGTATTTGAGCTTCAGCACCAAGATTTTTCTTCCAAAGAAAGTTGCCTGCTTAATCGGATTTAATTCAGATTAACAAGCCAGTTGTTTTGTTTCCGCCAACAGTTGCACAAAATGGTATTTTATTCAGGAATCTTTTTTTTTTTAAAGCGATATACAGGTAGTCCTCCACTTACAACAGTTCATTTAGTGACCGTTCAAACTTATCTCTGAAAAAAGTGACTTATGACCAGTTTTCACACTTACGACCGTTGGCAGCATCCCCGTGGTCAGGTGATCAAAATTCAGACGCTTGGCAACTGACTCCTATTTACGATGGTCGCAGTGTCCCGGGGGGGGGGGGAGGAGGATCCCGTTTTGCGACCTGACCCGCCAACTCAATGGGATAACCCGTTTCACTTAACAACCGTGTTCCAAATTTACCAACTGCAGGGATTCAGTTCTTGTGGCAAGAAAAAAGTCATCAAACGGAGCAAACCTCACTTAACAAATGTTTCACTTAGCAACAGAAATTTTGGGCTCGCCTGCAGTTGTAAGTCGAGGACCGCCTGGTTTTTCTAAACCGGAAAGTTGACTTGCTCTCTTTTTAAAAATGTTGCGTCTCTGCTCCTGGTCAGTTCCTCAGCAAGGACTCTTATCGCTGGGCGATCCTCACAAGTGTTGTTGGCGTGGCGTTAGTTGAACATGACTTTGCAGGTTTTTTGGCGCTGACTCGGTATGAGAGATCGTCCTGATAGGCAGTTTCCGTAATGCCTGGCTGCAGCGTTCCCGCACTTATTCAAGGGCAAGTGCAGGGCAATTTGACTTTTAAAAATTCAGCTCTATCACTTCCAGAGGTTTGTTCAGGCTCCGATTTATCATCTTCTTTTTTTTCCCCTCCTCCTCCTAACAAAATTGCTCATAAGTGGAGTTATTAAACACACAACATTAGTAAAAACACTTGGGGCTGGAGGAGGGTTTTAATCTTCAGTGGTTGAGGAATCCCTGGAGCCTGGTGATTGAATTGAGGTTTAAACTGTCGGAGGAAACCGAACCACAGAAACAAAATTGATTTGTGCAAGTTGTCTAAACAGGGCCGAGAATGGGAAAGCAACTACCATATTCTTTCTCTCTCTCTCTCTCTTTCTTCCTATCTCTCTTTCTTTTTCTCTCTTTTCTTTCTTTCTGTCTCGCTCTCTCTCTCTTTCTTCCTTTCTCTCTGTTTTTCTTTTTCTTTCTCTCTTTTTCTCTTTCTTTCTCTCTCTCTACTTTCTCTGTCTCTTTCTCTTTTTCTTTCTTTCTTTCTTTCTTTCTTTCTTTCTTTCTCTCTCTCTCTCTTTCTTCCTATATCTTCCTCTCTCTTTGTCTTTTTCTTTCTCTCTCTCTTTCTTCCTATCTCTTTCTCTTTTTCTCTCTTTTTCTTTCTCTTTTTTTTTACAAATTTTATTTATAATATAGTTAAAAACAAACAAACATTAGATTTGACGTGACATTCCAGTATAAAAATTCTTATCAGATTATTCCACTTTTTACAATCAATTCTTCATCTCTACATATACACCTAAGTTTTATATACCATACTTGTTCTAAAATAACATATATTTCTATCTTAACATTCATCTTTAATCTCTCTTTCTCTCTTATTCTTTTTCCTTCTCTCTTTCCTTTCTTTCTTTTTCTCTCTCTCTTTTTCTCTCTTTGTCTTTCATCCTATCTCTTTCTCTTTTTCTTTTTCTTTCTCTCTTTTTCTTTCTCTCTCTCTCTTTCTCTCTCTGTTTCTCTGTGTCTCTCTTTCTCTCCTTTCTTCCTATCTCTTTTCCTTTCTTTCTTTCTCTTTTCCTTTCTCTCTCTCTCTCTCTTTCTCTCTTCTCTCTCTTTCTCTCTCTCTCTCTCTCTGTCTGTCTGTCTTTCTTTCTCTCCAATCTTTTCTTGAAAACCTCCAGTGATGGAGCACCCACAACTCCGGGAGGCAAGCTGTCCCACTGATTAATTGTTCTCACTGTTAGGAATTTCCTCCGCCTCCTCGCTGGATCTCTCTTTAACAAGCTTCCACCCATTTCAGACTTTTCAAATAGGGACAAATAGTCTCTATACCACCAGAGACTCTTCAAATATTGTCTCTGCAGAACTTACTCTGCAGAACTGGGTGATTTCCAAAATAATCTGCTGCACCATATCTGTTGCCTGCTTATTCTCCATCCAGTATCTCTTTCAAGTAAACATTCATCATTGCAAGGTGGTTTAATGTGTGGTTTGCCATAAAATAGAGGTCTCTCTCGCCCCCCCCCCCCACTTTCGATGGAGTCTCCAGATCCCCGCAACTTTAAAGCCACCCAGATCCAAGATTCCAAATTTCATGAGACCTTAGGTTTGCCGCAAGCGTGCCATAAGCTGCTGAAGATTGAAATTGCCAACATGCTGCAACATTTGATGGCACGCACAGCTATGTTTTGTCACGTCTGCATGTCTTAGTCTGCCACTTGTGAATGGAGCCAGGCCAATGTAGGCAGAAGGCC